TGCAAAAGGCTGATCACCTATGAAGTAATGAGAATAAATTGTGAGATAATGTAGAACAGATCTAATTAAGATAATGAGCTACGATTATGGACATGATTTTTCAGGGTTAAAGATCTTAACAAAAGGCAATCTATGGATATATTTTAAATACCCTCTTTGGTCTACTTACTTATATTAGCTATGCCTCTTAAAAAAAGAAAATATTCATCAAAAAATGCTAATGGTATCTGTTTGGTGGTCCAGTGCTGGTGTTATCCACTATGGCTTCATAAAACCTAGTCAGTCAATTACAGCGGGTGTCTACTGCAACCAATTGGACAAAATGATGAGGATGCTTGTGATTAAGCAACCAAGATTGGTCAATAGAGACAGGCCAATCCTTTCACAAGACAACGCTTGACCACATGTCGTACAAACAGCGTTGCTCAAACTACAGAGGCTGGCCTTGGAAACTCTCTGTCTTCTACCGTATTTACCAGACCTTGCACCAAATGACTACCACTTCTTCCAGGCTTTGGACCACTTCTTGCAAGGAAAAATATTCAATTTTCAACAAGCTGTGAAAAATACCTTTTGTGATTTCATCACCACTTGCTCTCCAAGCTTCTTCACTGCTGGCATAAACAAGCAACCGTTAAGATGGTAAAACTGTGTTGATAGTTTAGATATATACCTTGATTAATTGTACTCCTTCTTGTTTAATATATAATAAACTATATTTTTGATTCAAACTCGGACATTTCATATTTAATGACCTAATATATATATATTTTTTAAATAAATATATTTTTAAAATATATATATTTTATTCACGGGATCATTCTATACATATTATTCTGCGACTTTTTTTTTTTACTTAAAAGTATGGCATAGATATATTTCAAAACCTATATAGATCCAGCTCATTTTAATAGATACTTAGAATTCCACTATCTAATCATACTACAATTTAACAATTTTTCTATTGATTGATACTTCCATTATTTCGCCTCTTTTGCTATTATTAATAGTGCTGCAATAACTGCACATATTTGGGGGACACTTATATGAGTAAAACTAGCCCACATCTCTAGTTCACACCGAGATACAGGGTTCCAACCTCTACCACCTTCATACCCTGTAGAGGTGGTACTTACTCAGCCACCCGACAAACTCAAGAATAATGCTTTTTGTTCAAGGTGCTCCTGCTCTCCCACCACAAAAATCATGGAATCTTAGGGAGTAAGAAGTGGAATTTAGGGATCATCCAGCCCAAACTCTTTTATCAAATAAGGAAGCTGAGCCTTAGAAAAGTCCATCCTAAATTAGTGACAGACTCTAGACACTAATCCCAGTCCTCAAGGCGTTCCACCCAGCTGAGGCCAATTTTGTTCTAAGCAATGGCTTGGTTGATATTTCACCAGTCCAAGATTCTGCTTCCATAATTTCTTTTACATTCTCTAAATCACAATCAAATGTGACGGATCTCAAGTGCTGTAAGCCTTTAAGTGAACGGAAACCAAAACCATCATTGGAAGGAAAGGCAAGGCAAATCTGAGTATATCTGAAAGGAGAAAAAAGTTTGACCAATGCCATTGTACAATGCAATTGGCTTATTATTAGTGGAATATGAGTTCACCTGTAAAATAATACAGAATGATAAGAATTAATCATATTTAATAAATTTTAAGTAATGCAAATTGGCTTATAGGAATAAAAAATAGGTGAAGGCATTTATGTTCTTAAATGATCAAATTATGAATTCTTACAAATAGTATTATTTAATTTCAAACACAAGTCAGGTTAATGTATCAAATTAAAATACAATCAAATAGTCAGAGAATATGCAAAATTTCCTTTATAAAAATCAAAGTCTCATAAACAGAGCATGACAAGACAAAGCTCAGGAAAAAAGCGGGACTGTAGGAGACCAGCTCAGCTTCTCTTCTTCCTTCATGCAGATTGATGTTAATTTCCTACCTCCTAGAACAGAGAATAGCTACTAATTCACTCACGTGAAGAAAGTGTGCTGTCTTATTTGCTCAGCTTACCAAAGTTCTCGGTCACTGCCATAATCATAACTCTTGAAGTGAACACCAGGACAGACGACGCCCACCCTCTGACGTGGTCGTAACCTCTGACATGGTACTCCCCAGCAGGAAGGGAAGGGACCATGCACTGGAGAACGGTGTGGTTAGCAGAGACACCCACACAGAGTGACATCCCAATAAAAATGTCAATGTTTTCAGCTCCTGAGATCTGGGCCACTGCAAAGGTTAAGACGTCATCACTCTGAGAAATAGAGAGCACTTCTGGGGTGAAGGCACGGCTGTAACCAATGACTCCCATGGGGAACAAAAGTCCATCTACCTCTATTTCCAGGGTGACAGAGCCATCCCCAGCAGGAACAACACACTGGATGAACTCCGCGCTGATGCTCACCGTCAGGCAGGCCTGCTGGCCAATGTAGACTGACGTGGTGTTCTGTCCTCTCAGGGCTGTGCCCTCTATGGCCAAGAGGCTTCCACCATGTAAGCTGAAATTCTTAGGAAAATAATGAAACACTTGAGGCTTAATGTAGAAGTACCTAGAACTGTTAACAGAACAAGCATACCCATTTCTTGGATGAGACACTGATAGGTAGTGGAGTCCTGCAGTCAAGTCACTTATCTGGCATGCCACGTAGCTTGTATTAAAGAAAGTCACATTGCAAGGAAGTTGATCATCCACAAACACCATTAGCTCATCAGCCGTGGTGCCTAACCTCTGACCTCTAATCAGCACAGCTGTCAGAGACCCACTGATGTTTGTGGTTACAGCGTCCACAACAGGAGTTGTCTCTTCCTGCATAAAGAGAGTGCAATTCCCCTGACACTCGCTGGTTAGCCCATTGACAAGGACGGTGACATTCAGGGTGAAGGAAGCGCCAGGCAAGGGGTCACCCACAGGGTTAACCTGGCAGAGGATGGCGTCATCTCCCAAACTCAAAATCACACAAGTAAAAGGACCTGAAAGGTCAACCTGAACGGACCTCCTTCGAGAGTTGAGGGCCAGCCCCCTCACGGTGAGTACTGTCCCCCCACACGCAGAGCCGTGTGTTGGGAACATGGCCATGATCCGAGGTGTCAGCACAAATTGCTGGGGCACCGCAGACATATTAGCAAATCCCACCTGCTTGTGACGTACTTGGAGGGGATGGATGCCTGCCTCCACCCTGTGAAGAGGAAAGGAGCACCCAGACAGGCTCACGTGGCTCTGGAAAGACTGTGTCTCAAGATCACAGGTCAAGCTCCCCAGAAGGACGACTGAGTTGGAAAGGTTACTTCCTTCCACATACAGCCTCAGGCTGCTATTTGTGACTTCTCCTCGCATGGCGATCACCACCGGTGTTGCTGCCGCTTCATACATGAAGGTGAAACCCTTCCCCACCAAGATCGGTGAAGTTCCATGGGTGAAGGACACGTTGCCAACCCAGACCTCCACGGGCGCAGGGACAGCGGGAGCATCTGCGTCAGGTAGCTGGGGGGCCCGAGAGGTCTCGCACCAGACGCTCACCTCTGTGAAGTTCACAATGTCACAGGACTGGTTGCCCACAAGCACCCAAACAGAAGCCGGGTCCCTGCCGAAGCCTACTCCTGAGATGCTGAGGATGGTTCCACCTGAAGTGTGAATATGGAAAACAAAATTTAACAGCTGATGTTTGCAACTAGGAGCTCACAACACTGGTGCACAAAGTCCCAGCGCAATTATGTGGCAGGTGGGGTGCGTGTTAGTGAAACCTCAGTTATTTTGCCTCACCCGCACCAGTGCTAAACTTGTGGTCATTTGGACAGGAATCAAATGAGGTAAAATTCTACATTACAGTAAAGTAATACTAATTGTTACATAGGAGGATGTTTATAATATTTAAGACAAACTTTTCAAGTACCTTTGTATATCCTAGAAGCCACAATTTTCATCAACTTATACACTAACAAAAAATCAAATTCCTTAGTTTTCTTGTCATCTGCTCTATTATGTAACCTATTTTTTATGCATTACGTAGAGTATATGTACGTTGTTCTATGTACATTCAATATACACACTAATGAAAAATCAAATTTGGTGAAGTCCTCTATCTTCTATATTATTTTATATAATATTCCAATATTGCATATATTATATATTCTAATATATTTTATGTATTCTACAATATATTCTATATGATATATATATATATATATATATATATATATATATGAAACATGTCAAAAGCCATTGAATCATGCTGGTGAATTTGCTGCCATATTCGCATACTTTGTCTTACTCAACAATTGACAGAAAAATCAAAGCTCAAACCTCATCTTCAGGACAGGGGTTGGAGCAACATGACCCACATCACAATCAAATCTGTGGAATAGCCAAGCAACTTTAAAAACGGTTTTACTATACTCCAAAAGGATAATGTGCTACTTTATACACTATCACAATGATTATTCACATGCCAATATATAGCTTTCAATTATTTCTGAAAATGAATGGTTTTAGGGGCTGCTCTATTTGTCTTGTCCTCACATCTCCCATATTAGCGTTTGCATTTCTATTTCTGAGTCCTTCATCCGGTATCCCTAGAGAAAAGACACTACAGACTCATTCCTGCTCTCCTTGCACACGCAGTGTCTAAATGGCCAGCACAGGAAACTCTTCCCTTGTTTTCCTGATATCCAGTCTGGAGTGCCACCCATTAGATGTTTTATCCTCTTTTCATTAGACAAAGAAAAACAGGCAAATCTCCTTTTCATAAACATTCTTTAATTTCCTGAGCAAAGGAATCACTGAGTTTTCGCACCCTTTAAAATACACCACTCAGTTCCTGGAGCCTGGGAAAAGCTTCTTTCCTGCTGTCCCTGTTTCTGGCAGTGCCGGCTAATTAATGCAGAAAAAAAGATCTGAATATCCAGTGAACAGATTTGCTGGATAATTGATAACAGTCACACGAGAGCCACTCACCCAGAAGGGACCCACAGCAAGGCTCGATGCTGAAAACTTCTGTGATGTACCGGATGTGGAGGTCAACCCTACGGAAGATAAGGGGGTCATTACAAAATAACCGAGAGAGTTAGAAAGAGAGAAAAGAAAGAGCAAAACAGAAGAGAGGTAATTATTTGGGGGGAAAAGAGTCTGCATAGTCTCTAAGATTTGTTCAAATATTATGATTCTCATGTCTTTATCTCCTAACTTTAGAAGAAAAAAGAAAAGACCTAACTCAAAACTAGAATTCCGCAGCTGAATCGCTAGACCATCAAACGAACCTAAAAGTAAGGGCAAGTGGCCACCTCACCCTTGTGAGCGAATGCTGACTCCATTGATAGAGACGGAAACTCCGTGGACGCCGGCTGGCAGCGCTGGCAGCACCACCTCCAGGCCCCAAGCCGTCTGTGCACGAACCGGGGCGCAGGTACCATGGATGTGGACTTCCGCAGCCAGATCGGTATAGTTCCCCAGCGACGTCATTCCAATGAGGAGGGACCCACCTCCTGTGTTGAGATGAGTCCATTAGCCTCTGGAATGTGGGTTTGTGGGCTCAACAACCCATTCGACTCTAAAACTGTGTTTGGGGTTTAAACACATGGTCAGCCCTATGCATAATACTCCAAGAGTTTTAATACCAACCTATATTTTTCATGAAACGTCTAACAACTCTTTTTCACAGAGCTACAGTCTATAACCTCGAAGACATTAAAAGCAAAATTGACAGGACAATTATACTCTAGAGGCACAAACTTATTTCTGTGCCAAGGCAAATCAAGAAGCGGTTTGGAGAGCTAATGGTCTTCATAACCAGCAAAGAAGAACACATCTCCTTTTTTTTTAACGTCCACTTTTGCACTGATAAAAGTCTAAAGCTGTATCTTCAGCGTGCACTGAACTTTATCATGATGCCATATGTGCATAAAGCAGTCCATAGTTTCAGAGCACTTTTCTATATGTTATGCCATTTGGTCTTCACACCATCCTGATGATACATATGGGCAGTCCATATGACTGGCATTTTGCATTTAAGGAAACTAAGGCTCAGCACCCATGGCCTCATAGCTAACTAATGAAAAAGTCAAGGCCTTAGTCTTCTGCTTTGTATTTTAATGCATTTTAGCTTAATTAGCAACTCCACTAAAATATTGTCCTCTATTAACACTTTAATTTGGTTCCTTTTCATTCAAATATTTATTGAGTACCATGAGGAAGATGCCACAGGGGCATGAAAATAAGTTAAATACAGACCCTGTTCTCAAAGAGACCTCAAAGGTACTAAAATGGGTGACTAAACAGCTTCAGTAGAAGACATACTATAAGAGAGGTGAAAATTAAGCACTGGGATTGTTCAGATCAGAGCAACATTATGAACATCAGGAGAGGCCTCGTGGGCAAAACAGTACTTGTAATGCAGTTTAAAAGATAAATTCCAAGAGAAAGTGATAGACAAGAGGAGACTTTTAATTTAATTGTAGAAATTTCACAGTTTTATGCAAAGTCTTGTGTTGTAGCACTTTCTTCATCATCCAGTGGCTTAGAGAGAAAAAAAAGAGAATGAGGTGACTTTCTGGACGACAAAGTACACACAGACACAGGTATAAACTCTGGGGGAGTGAGCCAGGTTGATGGTCCCATGGCTGAAGACCAAGAAAGCCAGTCCTGAGGGGTTTCTGCTTAACTCAGTGGACAGTGGAGACCTCCAAAGGCTTCTAAGTGAGAAAGGAACATGATTGAAGCTATTCTTCCAGTCTATAGGGTACACTGAGCAGGCAGGAGAGGAGAAATTCGGTCTGCAGACAGCTAGAGACTTACTGAGAGCCAGAGATCAAGCGTGCAACAGCAGGAGTAGAAATAAACATACTCACCTTCCCTACGCATCAGTGTGCCCACAGAGACACAGCTTGGGGCAAAGCACCGCTAGCTCCTTTAGCCTCCAGCATTTGAGAACTACTGCGGAGCTGGCATCTATAGGATGCCTCAGCCAACCAGATGAGGAGGAGAAAGAGGTGGCTTGAAAGAGACAACTCCAAGAAGAGGGATGTGGCATGGTGGCGAGACTGTGAATCTGCATTCACATCCTTGGCCTGCCCTGTAACTACCTCTGTGACTTTGGGTGACTTACTTTGGGCTCCCAAAGCCTTGGATTTTTTTCATCGATAAGACGGCAATAAAGCCTATCCCATGTGGTTTGTTGTAGGAATTAAGGTAGATATCTTGGGAAAGCATCTGGCATGGTACAGCACACAAAAAGGCCTCATTTAATTTTATTTTCTTCCTCATTCTGCACGCCCTTTGCTTCTTTGTGTCCTCTCAACCTCTACTGGGAAGTCTGAAGCTTCGATGTAGTGAGTTCAAGGGATTTCAGGGCTGATCAAGGAAAAAGACATGACCACAAGGTGGCAGCAGCACAAAAGGAGCTTTATTCAAGGGGTGTTTTCACAGATGCACAAAGAGGAAGTCTCACAGGGACTCCTTCCAGAGGCAACAGTACAAGGCCACCACCCAGAAGGGAAGGAAGGCAAGGGAACTCGGGGGGAGGGAGATCAGAGAGGGGGCTTCCGTGTGGGTAGTCTTTGGGTCACAGAGCTCTACAGGCATACACAGTTTGGGGTCTTTTATAGCCCCAGGGTTTATCTTACCTATAGCTGGCTGATGTTGTGTGCAGTTTTATGGTGTATGCAAAGCAAGCAGGCTCTAAATGGCTACAAATATGCTCCTTTTGACTATATGTAAAACAATTGAATATATAAAAACTTAAATTTAGCATTGGTAGGCTTTTATGCTAATGGGTCCCAGGATACTGTGAAGAAGTAAACAACACAGGGCCAATATGCAGAGTCCATCTCTGGCTCATTTATATAACATCCAGTATCTGGCAGAACGCTGGCCTTCACTTCAACAAAGCATTTATTGGGTGCTTACTCCATGTCCGTTCCTGGACTGAGTACTTTTACCTGCTTTATCTCCAATTTTTATGATTACCTTGAAAGAATTATTCCCACCTAACAAATGGAGAAACTGGAGATAAAGGAAGTTAAATATCTTGCCTAAAGAATATGTGAAATTAAACTAAATTTGGCCTGAGGCTGCCTCCGTACCTTGAGTTTCTACATAATGAATTGCAACTTAACTTAGTATTAATAGTAAACAAACTGAAAACCTAATTTAGGATTATATTTTTTGCAACAACTAGCTGGGTTTCAGCTAATCACAGCAGCTGAGCTTCAGCCAGTCACAGACTGCCAATTAATCAGATCATACACAAATACGGCAGCAGGAAGCTGTAACCAATCAAGCTCTTTCTGGACCTCACTTCCATTTTCTGTCGATACATAATGCCTGCTCACGTTGCAGAGCTCAGCTCTCTGAACCTCTTCTGGTTCTGAGGGCTGCCCAATTCGTGAATTGTTCTTTGCTCAAATAAACTCTGTGGAATTTAATTTGTTGAAAGTTTTTCCAGTTGTTTCTGACTGAAAAAAACACACCACACTAATGGTCCTGCGCATCAAATTCTGGATAGAGATGTGTAGCACTCCAACTTGAAAGAGACTTTCCCCATAGGCTACCACACTTTGTGGATTTTATAGCATGTTCTTCTCTATTCTGCCTGTAGAAAGATTTAAATGCAAGTGTACACTTTGAAAAGAATGCATTGTATTGTTTGTATCAATAACATGAACTTCTTGGGCTCTTGGTCAATTGTCAAGCTAATCCTAAATGCCTTTGAGGCACTGATACAATGTATTTATTCTTTTCTTTATAGGTAGGAAATGTTATTAAAAGCCAAAATCACTGAAATCTGAATACAACATGGAGCTCCCCCCTCCCTTTTCTACCTCGCTGGGAAGAATCTATACCACCAAGGAATTTTGTACACTTTGGTCGCCTGAGGCAGCAAATGCTTCTTCTGCACTATCTGAGCTGAATAATATTGAGAAGCTAAAGGACACTTCACTTTATTTATGTACTCTTGAGCTATAGAAAATGAAAATAGTATCATAAAAATTGAGTTCAGGCTTTTTTGGGGGGAAAATATGATGGTCTTGTAATAATAAACCCTTAGATAAGGCTACCAAAAACTCTCTGTTATCTGACATTCAATTAACCAGAAAGGGATGTTACCTGCTACTTTTCCCAATCTACATGGTATGACATGATAATAAATTGTTATAATTCTATCTTGTCAAATCATCTGAATCATCAAAGAAAGATTAAATTATTTCATTTAGTTGGTGCTGATAAATTCTTTTTATACATAGTATGTCTCAAGGAACAAGAATTCTTGGTTAACCAAAAGATTCTCTTCTCTAATCATACTAAATAGCTACTACAATAGAAACTGCTACCAAAAACAGTATTTTACAGTTAACTATAAGTGGTTAAGTGCCTGGGATCTGCAAACAAACTGCCTGGGCTCAAATCTCAGGTCTGTTATTACTAAAGGCAGCATCTTAGACAAGTTACTTATTATCTCTATTCTTTAGTTTCCTTATCTGTAACTGAGGCTAATAATTTTATAAATTAGCAACAAGGATTAATTTAAAGCCTATTATATGTCTATGGTATTATTATTGGCACATACCAGCTGCTTAAGAAATATTTATTGAATTATTACCTTTGAATTCCCACACCCTTTTCATGATGGAAATGGTCCCAGTTTTACAAGAATGAACAGATATCAGGAGGTTAATTCAATAATGGCTAAGATGAAAAAAAACAATCTCCTGGTTTTCAGGAAAAAAACTTCAAAATATAATAAAATTCATAGGGCATTGATTGCTCTTTTTATGGGATTGATGTTCTAATAAGATCTTGCAGTATCATGTATTTTACCTGCTATGTTGCTTCTGTTTCTGCTCAGAGTCACAATCACCGGATTTAAAGAGGAGACATAGGTAAACGCTCTGGGAAGTACTGCAGAATGGTCCCCTCTGAATACAGTCACATTCACAATGTGTCCATCTTTCCCCTGAAAAATCAATTTTAAAACTCAAACCTCAGTCTGATTTTAAAGTAAGACTGACTTGAGGGAAGAGAAGTCCATATAGAATTGGTTTAAACGGTTAATTTCAAGAAAGTTGTTTTTAAAAGGTATAATTGCTACTTTCAAGTCTCCCTTCTCCTCGCCATTTCTCTTTCTCTCTCTCTCTCTCTCTCTCTCTCTCTGTCTCTCTCTCTCTCTCTCTCTCTCTCTCTCTCTCTCTCTCTCTCACACACATATAGAGTGACAAATGCTTGAAATAGGCAAGTGCAATGTTGAAGAATAGATCCAGAAGGACCATACCATTACTCTAAAGGGTAAATAGGAATGATTTGCAACTAACACATTAATTGTTTCTGCAAAAAATGGCAACTTCAAATAACTGTCTATACCTAGCTAAACTATCCCACGAATATGAGTGTACTTTCAGACATGTAAGTACTCAGAAAATTTCGTTCCCACATACTCTTTCATAGGATGTTTCTTAAAGCTGTGATCTTACAAAATAAATAAAAATTAAAAAAATAAGATATGAATTCTAAGAAAGTGAATCTACTCAGGAGAGCCATCAAGAGTAATAGTATGAAATCTATAGAATATACCAAGAAATGAACAACACAGATTGAAGGAGGAGAACAGAGAGCTTCAAAAAAAAAGAGTAACTGATATGTTGAAACTTTTTTAAAAGATGATGGATTTTTATTATAAGAAAGACATGTTTAGAAAAAAACTCTAGGGAAAAAAACAAAGAACTACAAAAGAAAAAAATATATATATTACTTGGTTCTGCCAGCATCATTTATATAGTTATGATAATGTAAACATGTTTTATTGATTTAATAAAAAATGATACTGTAACTATATTGAAAAGAATTAAGAATGGTTGTTTCAGAAAGGAGGACTTGAAGAAGGGGGAAGAGTGGGAGAAGGAAAGCATAATCTACCATTTTCCTTTTCACTTTACATGTATCACTCTGATCAAAAATAAAAGTTTGCTTTTTTAATGTTTATCCTCTCTGATAAAAGAAATCCAAACATATATATATTACCCATTAGAATGGTAAATATATATCAAAGTGATAATACCCAGTGTTGACCAAACTTCCAAAAATCAGACACTTGCACAGTGATGGTGGGAGTATACACTGAAAAGGAATTTCAGACAACTGGATATTACATATAAAAAGTTTATGAATTTAGATTAATTTATCCTGAGAAAATAAATGTGCCTGAAAATATAGTAATTAGAATGTTCAAAGCTCTGTTGTTCCCAACAGGGAAAAGTTAGAAATTATCTAAATGCCCAATAATACAGGGTGTCCCAAAAGTTTCCACACAAAGGAAAAATTTTATAATGAATATTTTGTAAATAAAGGTACAGTTAGCTACAATTTCCCATTTTCCCTATGTATGATGACTTTTGAGACACCCTGTAGAGAATAGTTAAAACAAATGATGGTACAACCATATATTGGAATTCCATGTAGTTTACATATAAAAGCTAGCTTTTCATAATACTTAAGAATGCTTAACATCTCTAATCATCAGGGAAATGCAAATCAAAACCACAATGAGATATCACTTATCTCCAGTGAGACTGGCCTCTATCAAAAAGTCCCAAAACAATAAATGTTGGCGTGGATGCAGAGAGATAGGAACACTCATACACTGCTGGTGGGACTGCAAACTAGTGCAACCTCTGTGGAAAACAATATGGAGATACCTTAAAGAAATACAAGTAGAACTACCATTTGATCTAGCAATCCCATTGCTGGGCATCTACCCAAAAGAATAAAAGACACTCTATAAAAAAGACACCTGCACCCGAATGTTTATAGCTGCACAATTCACAATCGCAAAGATGTGGAAACAACCCAAGTGTCCATCAATACATGAATAGATTAATAAAATGTGGTACATGTATACCATGGAGTACTATTCAGCTTTAAGAAACAATGGCGATATAGCACCTCTTGTATTCTCCTGGATAGAGCTGGAACACATCCTACTAGGTGAAGTATCCCAAGAATGGAAAAACAAGCACCACATGTACTCACCATCAAATTGGTATTAACTGATCAACACGTAAGTGCACACATAAGAATACATTTATTGAGTGTCAGGCAGGGGGGAGGGGGGAGGAGGGGACGTGTATATGCATACACAAAGAGTGCGATGCGCACCGTCCAGGGGATGGACACACTTGAAGCTCGGACTTGGGGGGGAGCAAGGGCAACATACGTATCCTAAACATCTGTACCCCCATAATATGCTGAAATAAAAAAAGAAAGAAAAAAAGAAAAAAAAATGTAGGACAAGTTATCAAAGAATATTCTGAAACCTATCTTCCAGGGAATCTTTATTTGTTCAGTACACAGCCATCTTTGGGGGTCATGGGTGTGCTAGGAATGTTGATGATCTTAAAGTCAGCTCTGAATAGAAATCTCAACTGCAGGATAAGTGTGATGCTCACCAACAGCACCAGGGAAGGGCCCAGACTCAAATTCCTTAATAGGCCATGAGATAGCACTAACTGACAGGAAAGAAAGAGCTCAGGAACTTGTTTTTAAGGGAAAAAGTATGTAGTGGGGAATAACTAGGAATATATTTCATAGTATAAAAACATTCTAGAAGTTTCTATGCTCCACCATTCATATCCATGCTAGGAAAAAATTGCTAGTGAAAACTTAGTTATCAATATTTGTTATTTGCTTAAGAGATAAAAGAGACTTTAAGATATAAAAGTTTTGCAAACCAACAAACAGAATGTACACTAGATAAAGGTATTTATTCTATGGCACTAATACTCACTGAGAGTATGGACAGATACTGTCCGGTTATATTCTTTTTAAAGGAATTAACTGATTTTAATTACAAAATCCATTAGTGGGGTCAGTTTCCCACTTCATAGCAAAATAGACAATATAAATAACGTAAGCATACTGTCATGATGAGAGATTCACATCAGTTAATTTTCTTCCAAGAAGTGAGTCGCTGAAAGCCTTATGTTAATAATGATTTCCCACCCTGAGAGAAGGAGATGCCAAAGCAATCCACTTACCCTGGGTGGAACTCTGCATTGAATTCTTTGTGAATTGCTTGTGGTGGCATTGAAGGCACAAGACTGAGATCCAAACAACACCAGGCTAACACCTTCCAAACTAGAACCTCGGATGGTGGCCCAGAGCCCTCCTGTAACAAAAACAGCATTTTCATATAGGATCCACAGCCATGTAGACAGATAAAAATCAATTATCCACAAGAGAGCCAAAATGAAATTAAAATATGAAGCCATTTAGTCAAAACACAAGGCAATGCTCAAGCTGCAGAAAAAGACTGAATTAAATATACAAACTATCTTACAGAGAGGCAGAAATAGTGACATAGTACTGCCATGAGTCAGAACAGCAAAGTAGACAGCCTCTGAAAATTCCTTCTGTCCTAGATTTTAAAGTATCATTCCTGCCAATGCTATAAAGTGTATTCTTTTCCCAAGAAAAATGTTAGAGAGCACTATGGCAGAAAGAGCAGTGGCCCGGAGCCAGGGCCACAGATTGCTCTGCGACTTAAAGCAGGTCGTTGCAGTATTGTCCCTGAATTGACTGGTCCCCATTTTCTTCATCTCTAAATGATGGTGTTAGCCCTCTCAGCTTTGTGATTCTGTACCACACATACCAGGTTCTAGTCACCTCGATGGTACAGAAATGACTGGTGTCACCAGCCACTGCCATCAGGATCTCTCTGCTGACCACTGAAGAGCAACCACAAAAACCCCCTTCTCCTCAATGCAGACATCAGTAAGAAGAAAGAAGCTTCCAATTCTGCCGAGATCAGGGCACACTTTCCTGTTTGAAGGAGCAGCCCTTAATCTGGCTAATGATCCAAAAAGGCACCTATTCATAATGAGGGAAATGATTCTAGTCTGCCATCGCCCCAGAAGTTTTCACAAGAGAGGCAGAGAGCCTTGTACCCCTTGAGATTAGGGAGGGGTACAGAAGCAAGATTAACTTCTCCTTGTTTGTGATGGACATAGGTAGTTACTTAATCTGATAAAAACCTCTGGGGACAATGTGACTGGGTGGAATAATACCTTGAAGTTAAATCTGAAACTTACCCTGAAGAGTCAGAGCAAGACTACAATAGATTACAAAGTTAGAGAATAAAATGGAAAAAGCAATATACAATAGCAAACTAAAAGATACAATATCTGGAAACAAACCTGCCCCCCTAAAAAAAAAATTTAAGAAGATAAAAAAAATTGAAAAATCTTTGAAATGCTGCTGAAGAATTTAATGGATGGATTAAAACTTAGATAAGGAAACTACAATAAATGGATAGAAAGAGTGAATATCATAAAAGTGGCATATCTTTGTAAATTAAATTAAAGCATCAATGTAGTTCCAATAAAGATACAAACAGGATTTGTATTTAAATTAGATGAAATAATTCTAAAATTTAATGAAAAATAAATAATAAGAATAGCCAGAAAACAAAATTTAGAAAATAAGAGTAAAAAAAGTCTTCTGCCAGACATTAAAATATCTTATAAATGTTTAATATCATATAATTAAAATGTAATAATAGAACATGCACAGATAGACAGATAAATGGAATAAAATAGGAAGTCCAGAGAAAAATTCAGATAAATATGGGATCGTAGAATACGATAAATATGGCATTTCATTTAAGTACAAAAAAGATGGATTATTTATTTAGTAAATAAAATAAGCAAATAGCACTGAAAAAATTAACTCTGAACTTCTACCTCACATCCTTCACCAAAATAAATTTCAAATTTATCAAATATCTAAACATAAAAAAGAAAGTTCTTTAAAAGGAAACATGACAGAATTTTTATTTTCATAAATTTCAGAGACAGAAAGTCCATTCTAAGTATTTGAAAAACCCTGAAACCATAAAGATATATTTTGTTACATAAAAATTAAAAATATTTATAAATTGCCAAAATAACAAAGAGATAAATGATAAATAAATAAAGAGCTAATGTCCTTAATAGATAAAAATGCTCTTAAAAATCAGTAAGAAAGGGAAAATGTGGGCACAGACAAGACACAGGAAGAATGTTTTGTGAAGATAAGGGTAGAGATCACGATGAAGTTCTATAAGCCAAGGAACACCGGAGATTGTCAGTAAATCACCAGAAGCTAAGAGAGAGGTATATAGGTCCCCAAAGGTTTACACCTTGATCTCAGACTTCTGGCCCTCGGAACTGAGACAAGAAATTTCTGTTGTTTAAGGAACCCAGTTTATGGCAACTGATTACAGCAGCCCTAGCAAAGTAATACAGATCCCTACCTCACACCTTATACAAAACTAACTCACAATGAATCAGATACCTAAGAATAAGAACTAAAACTATAAAAGTCTTAGAAGAAAACAAAGGATATAAATCTTTGTGACATTGGATTAGATAATGATTTCTTAGATATGATACCAAAGCACAAGCAACAAGAACAAGAAAGATAAAATGAACTTCACCAAAATTAAAACTTTTGTGCTTCAAATAACACTATTAAAAAAATGACAACCTACACAATGGGAGAAAATATTTGCAAATTATATATCTTATAAGAGATTAGCATCCAGAATGTATAAAGAACTCTTACAACTCAACAATAAAATGATAAATAACTCAATTTTTAAAATTGGCAAAAGATTTAAGTAGGCATTTCTGCAAAGAAGATGTACAAATGGCCAAAGGAACATGAAAAGATGCTCAACATCATTAGTCATTAGGAAAATGCAAATCAAAACCACAATGAGATATCACCTCATACCCATTAAGATGGCTACTATGAAATAACAACAAAGGATTGGTGAGGATGTGGAGATATTGGAACCCTCTTATACTGCTAATAGGGATGTAAATTGTGCGGCCATTTTAGAAACAGTCGATGTTAAACATAGAGTTACTTAGTTAAATTAAGACAAGAAAAATGAAAAATTCCATTTTCAGGTATATACCCGAAAGAACTGAAAACATATTCACACAAGTCCTTGTACACAAATATTCATAGTAGCATTATTCACAATAGCCAAAAAATGGAAACAATCCAAATGTACATCATGAGATGAATGGAAAAACAAAATGTGGTATATCCATACAATGGAATATTGTTTAGCCATAAAATGGAATAAAGTATTGATACTGCTACAGCATAGATGAACCTTGAAAACATTATCCTAAGTAGAGAAACCAGACACAAAAGGTCACATATTGCATGATTCTATTTATATTAAATGTCCAGAATAGGTAAATTCATTTAGACAGAAAACAGATCAGTGGTCACCAGGGATTGGAAAGAGGGAGGAATAGTGAGTGACTATTAATGCATACAAGGTTGCTTTTTGGAGTGATGAAAATGTTCTTGAATTAGATGGTGGTAAGATATACAACTTTGTGAATATACTGAAAACCACTGACCCGTACACTTTTAAAAAGTGAATTTTATAATATGGGAATTATACCTCAATTTTTTAATGTTCCAAAAAAAAAAAAGATGATCTTGGAGTAAAAGAAAAGAATAAGGCAGCTCTACCTATTTCTAAGATATATTGCCCTAGTCCAAGCCAACACTCTCTCTCCCCTGGATGACTGCAGTAGCCTCCTAACTGGTCTCACTGGTTCCATCTTTGCCTCCCTATAGCACGTTCTCACCAGCAGCCTAAGTCACATCATGTCACTTCTTCACTTAAAATCCTCCAATGGCCCTCACCTCACTCAGAACAAGAGCTGAGTGAGATGAGGGTCATTCATAATCCCTAAGGCCATACAATCTGCTCTGGGTCATCTCCTTACCACTGTCCTCTCACTCAATCTATTCCAGGCAGAGTGACTTCTTTGGTGTACTTGGAAAAAGACAAGCTCACTCTAACTTGAGACTTCATCATTTGATGTTCCCTCTGCCTCAAATTCTCTTCCCCAAGACTTCCCCAAGACATATTCCTTCACTGCATCCATGTCTCCATCCTCTAATGCCAATGACAGCCATTCCCTCCATCACCCTTCCCTCCCTCCTCTTCTTGATTTTTCTCCTACACATTTACCACCACCTCTTCAAGCCCAGAGCCTTTGTTTTTATTTACTGTATCCCAAGCATTAATAGTGCTTGGCACATAATAAGAGTGAAATAAATTGTTCTCGTGATTATTGTTGGTGGTAATAATTAAAAGTTGAAGAGGTGGTGATACTTTGCCATTCTCATTTGAAAACTGGGGTGCCTCACGGTAACCCAGGCCTTAGGAGAAGGCAACACTATCTCAGCACAAAAGTGGATCAAGGTGGCATGTAAGGCAAAACTAAGATTTTGCTTTAAAAATATCCTTTAAAGGGTGCTTCTGCATATAGGCAAGTGGTGATTTAGAATATTATTGATCACAGTATGTATATGTGCCCCTTACTTCTCGAATTTCTGTAAATTTCATGCTTGTAGACCTCAGCCTGGTTTTCTTGAGCTTCCATATAGAAGCATTTCTCAAGCTGTGCTATTCATAGCAATTGCCTGAGGATCATGTTGAAATGCAGATGGATTCAGGAGGTCTGGGGTGGAGCCTGAGACTCTGTGTTTTCAACAAGCTCACAGGTGATGCAGATAGTGCTGGTCTAGGACCACAGTTTAAGTACCACGGTCTTCGGGGCTCTATAAGGGATGGTGTTGAGTGATTCATTGAGATTGATTGATTGATTGATTGATTAACACAAGGTGATGCTACGTAGGTCACCGGGCAAAGGAAGGGTTAGTAAGGAAAGTTTAAATGCAGTAATACGGAAAGTAGCAGCTACAGCCTCTTCCTCCTTCCCTCCCTCCCTTTCCCCTTAGTCTTAATAAAAGTTATTTACACCCACCTAGCATATTCCTTCTCATAGTTTTCTATCTTTTGCTAAAATATAAAGGTATAATATAGCATTTTCCCAATCCCTTCACTATGTATTGTTGGTACACCATGCCCTGATAGGGTGACCAACTCATTCCAGTTTTCCTGGGACCAAGTCTTAGCACTAAGAGTTCTGCATCCCAGTTTTAAAACTGAAAGTCTTGTTTCCTGGGACCCCCTCAGTCCCAGGCAAACTGGGAAAGTTAGCCACCCTACTTGTGCAAAGTACTATGTACAGGGGAAACGAAGACAACTGAGTCACCTGCTTGCCCTTAAGATGTCTACGATCTAGTGGGGAGAGCTAAAGAAGGATTGTGTGGCCTGAACTGCAGAGGTAATTTTGTAAGAAGATCAAAGTGCCTTATAAATCGCGTGATAAGACTATTTATATGCCCTAAACTCAAACCAATAATTACTGGTTTAATATAGAATATGATCTTTCTCTCTGAGCAACATATATCATCTGGCTCCCTCCTTAAACCACTGAGAAAAAAGACCAAGTGCTGCTTGCTCTGTCTTATGTGCAGAGGTGAGGTAGGAAGGGCCTCATAATTCATTCTTCTAGGCAGAGTCAGAAACAAGCTGTTCCTTTGAGCAACACGTTTGTGGCCAAAACACACTGTTTTAAAATATGTTCTCACTCTATCCCAAGCAACAGAGCAAGACTCTGTCTCAAAAAAAGAAAAAAGAAAAGAAAAGAAAGAAAAAAGAAATATGTTCTAAGCTGTGGTCCTCTGGCCACCAGAATAAACAATGACAAAAATCCAAAGCATAAGGACAGGAGTTTTATGCTCCAAAATCTATACATTAGCAAACATATCCATGAGTATTCCTGAGATGATTCTTGCAATGTGGCTGGGTCGTTACCAACTGGTTGTGCCCCTCCAAAAGCAGCAAGTCATGGAGAGATTTCTGATTTTCCACCAAACTAAGACCCAATCCATGGGGTCATGTTAACAAGACCCACTGCCCTCTGTATTCCCCACTACTCAAATAGCAGTTGGTTTTGCATGCTAGCCAAGTACCCAATGTACATCAGTTAACACACATTTTTAAATACCATCCATGTACAAAGTTCCTGGCAGGTGAGCAAGACCTGTACTGGACATTTTTCAAATATTGTTACTTTTAAAGAGACTTTTCCATCTCCTGGCTCATTTTAATTTCACACAAATTTAGGTAATCTACAAGTCAAGCATCATTAGGCCGTGCTATAAGTTAGACAGCCTGGAACACAGAAGCAGCAAGAGCCTAAGCGTCAGACAGTTCTTATTTTCACACTAGCTCTGCATCTTTCCATGCAAAGCTCTGAGACAGTCATTCTCCTCTTAGAACCACCATTATCTCATCTGAAAAATGTGGATAATAATTCTATCCTTTGGGCAGTTGTAAGCATTTAGGGTGTGTGAATACTTAGAAGAGGTACTCAATAAATGATACTGTATCTATCATCATCATTATCAGGAAACTAACTAGGACCCATAGAAGTAACTAACTGCAACTTCTAGGTCACACATCTGACTTGTGGTAGGATAAAAACCCAGGCACATGTCCTAACTCCCAATCCAGTGTTGTTTCCACTAGGCCAGATGGACCTGGTGACTCAGTAACTAACCCAATTACATCTGACACCACAGCCAAATTATAATCCTTTATATGGCAAGTGAGTTCATTTAAGGGCTCAAATGTCTGTTGCTCATCAGACGAAGTGCTAATGTCAGAAAACAAAAAGCTGTGAATCATAGTGGATATGGAATTTATTACATGGCAGGACTAGATTCCTATCAGCAAGAACGCTAGCTGCACAGGGTCAGATGCATTGCCAGGCCCTCCCCAGATTACCAATCTCCGCAGCTCTGGAAGGCTCCACAGCATCCAGTCTAGGTTCCAGGCTCAGGAAGAGACCTTCTCCACTGGCACTGACAGCAAGACCAGAGGGTCTCACCAACATCAAGATCCGATGTACACCGACAGGTAGCAGGTCTGTCCGACAGACCACATTCGTCTGGTTTGAGAAAATGACTTTGCAACTCGTTTGGTTCACTCTAACCTGCAAGGACTGGGAGTCACCAGAGAAACCAGTTCCAGTGATATAAATCAGTAGGTTGACGTCACCATCTTAAAGGAGGAAAAACATTAAGAAACAAAATCATCGCTCAGTGATATCATCTCATTTAAGAGATATCCTCTAACATCAAATGTTCATTCCCTCTCACCTTCCCCTTCCAAAATTCAGGGAGTTGAACACTGACTCAAAATTGAACATCTGCCTTTGTTATTGTAGTACACAGCCCCCATCTTAAATTTTCTCAAACTAGTAATGAAGGATGGTTGCTTAATAGAAAAAAAAAAAAAAGAGGAAGAGAAAAGAAAATCGAAATAAAGAATATTTCAAAACAGGGACAAAGAGAAAAAAAATTTCAAGTCATCAAAAATCTACTTGTTCCCATTTCAAATCATGCCTATATCCCTCAGATGGACCAAAAAATACACTTTCTGTTGCATCACTCAACTCCACCTAGTGAACTGATGGATCTTCTACCCACCATCACCAGTGACATGGCCTCTAACAAAATCACTCTGAGTCTAAGGTCCATGCCCATCTCAGTGTTAAGTCACAAATCATACCCGGAGAACACCACACAGAATGGACCCAGGGAGTTGACTCTTGGAGGTACTGGAAAGAACAGGAACCTGTGCAATGAGCTGGTATGTCATTCACTTGCACAACCACCTGAAAAAAGGGCAAAAAAATAATTTTTTAATTTATGCATTTCATATGCACAAGGGTATTTATTAATAAAGTACTTGTGAAGTTTCCCCAAGCTAAAATGTGTTCTTGATTCACTTATTCTCTTTTCTTTCTTCTATTTCTCTAGTAATTAATCTCAAATTGCAATGAATGACTCAAAACACATGATGCTTTCTTAAAATGATAGTGGATATGCTTAAATCCATTTCTGCAATTAAATATGCTCAATCTTGAGTAAATTTCCTCTCTGCCCATAGAAATAAATTTTATAAACTCAACCTGTACAAAGACTTCTTATCACTCTGTATTTCCAACCAGGTACTCACTTCATGTGAAAAGCCCTTTCTTTGCTAGTGAAGACCAATGAAGTAGGAACTTTCCTTCCACTGACACTACATGAATATATAACTTAACACTAGAGTGTTTGTGGACATTTGGTTTAAGGTCTTTTTGTCCTAAAATGTAGGCCCCTAAGAAGAGACTATGTCTTTCCCTTTCACTGGAACTAATGCTAATCTAATAGAACTTAAACAGTACTTGGAAATGAGAAAGGTGAAAAAGATAAGACTCGATTGCTTCTCTACATGTAAAAAATGGATTAAGAGCATACACACTATATTTATGATTGTGTTTCCTTACAAAGGGAAGAGGTATTGGGATAGCATGGTTGATAAAGAACACTTCAATTTTATCTATAATATTTTATTTTTTCCATAAAAACAAAAATTATAAATATATCAAAATGTTGATGACAATTGTCAGATTGAGTACCCCTATGTTAGTTATATTATTCCTTATTGTTTTGTATTTTAAAATTTTCTCAAAAGCAGATGACCTATAACAGGAATATGGGACAATAAGAAAGAGCAAAGGATATTTTAAAGACAAAAGGAATGACTTAGCTCATTTAGTTTCCAATACCACTGTGTGGAGGCATAAATCATATTTAGCTATAGAGGTTCTCTCATTTTTTTGCACCATAACAATAGCATCTCTAATTATAATAGGATATTGTGGTAACAAAGTATTTATGTTTTCATAGTATTTTACATACCCTGTAGAAGTAGAAAGAGTATAACCATTAATTACTCCTGTTTTACAGATTGTAAAAATGACCCTTGGGAGCTAAACCAACTGGCCCATGTTACAAATCAGTTGGAGGCTCAGTTAGACTTGAAACTAATACTTGCACTTAAGGTGGCCCATCCATGCTCACCTGAGTGTGCTGGTTGAAAGTAGCTAACATGTCTCCAAATATAGGTCCAAGAAAAACTCCACCATCATATACCACACGAGTGGTTGCAACAGGATTCACTCCAGTAAGATTTCCATCAGAGACCTGAGATGGTTACATTTCTGGTAAGTTCTGTCATAGAATGAAAATCTAACCTTGATTAAAACACATGATAGGGGGTCTTTTCAAATTCTGTTTGAGATAATCAGACAGCTAGAAAGTGAAAACAAAGTGAGAGAATTGAAATCTTGACACTTCACAGTAAGTAATGGCTAATGAAAGCCCCAGTAGATCAGATAAATATTTATTTGCAAGTAGAGTTAGCAAAGAAGACACAATAGACCAATCTTCTCTCTAAGCCTTCAGATATTTTGCTTCTCTATGCATCTCTATTTTATATGTTTGAAATCCAAAATATTAAAATAAAATGTAAGGAAACAGTACTATGAGATAAGAGCAAGGTCTCCCACCATCCCTCCATCTCCACATCAATATTTTGTTTAAAAACCAGATGACCCGCAATACCATATAACTGGGAAAAAATTTCGCTTTGGTCTTTACTTTATAATAGCCAAATGCTAGATGATCATTAGATTATTTTTTAAGACCCTAAATATGCAAGAGCATCTGGTTTCGTCATTATCCAAAGACAGCAAATTCTTTTCTAAACTTCCTTCTGCTATGCCATCTGCTTCCATGATAATCTAAGTCAATCACATCTGCTTAAATTATCCAATAACAGATGTAGAATTATTGTATGGTGGACACCGACCAACAAATTCTCTACCTACACTGAATTGGGAAAGGACATGTTGGGTTTAAATTGCTTTATCAGGGATACGAGATACAAATTATATGTTGACAACTTTTAGAAGTAAAGATCACAGAATTTCTTTACTTGACTGTTCCAACAAAATGAATAATTCATGAAAGTTTTCATTCATATAATTCTAATTTTTTGTCTTTTACAAAACTTCTCCAAGGCACCAAATCTATACCACTAACAGGGATACCATACATACCCTGATAAAATTGGGCAAATCCCCAATCTGGGTGGACCAGGACAGGGTCCACACATGTTCATAGCAAGAGTTCAGATCCTCCTTCACAGTGAAGTCACTGACGTTGAGGTATCTGGATGTGACGTCATCAGCATTGTTCTGCAAAAGCTTGTGAAGGTGACTAGCAGAAATGTTCACAGGGACGTCTGTGAGAGAAAGTTTTGAAACAGAAAACACAAGACACTAATTAATTCACTTTACAGGGTTTCCTCACCAAAGATAACAGAGAATAAATACCAGGATGCCTAACAAATTTGCAGGGGACACTCGAGGTCAAAACACAGCTTCAAGAGAAGCCCGACCCTAGTTAAACCATTTTTCCCCTAAGTCAAATGCAAGTAGATGCCCATTTTTTACATCACAATATCTTTCGTCAGCGTCATATGACATAGCAAGCAGAGAGCCCAGTCATGTCAGACAAAACCATCTCAACTGTCAACTCAACATGTAAACTCCAGACACTCTTGTAATGCCTGAAAGTCTAATTAAATATTGGACTTTCCCTGGAAAAATTTAGCTGTCCCAGTGAACAGACAAAAGTTGGCCACTTTTCACAGGGAGTGGGGGAGGCACACAGCAGCTGACACCCATAAAAACTTAGCCAACCCAGCTGAGGAATGTTGGCATTTAACTTCGGTTTCTCTATTAGAATTTTCTTTAAGCCCAACCACCTGCTTCCCCATTCCACATCCCCACAGAGAAATAACAACACTGTGTTTGAACCCTGCTTCGTACTTTACCAAAA